GGTGCGGCGGGGACATTCCATGAGACGCTTCAAGTTGCTTCGCAAAAGTGACCTCCTCAGTAGTTTCATCCATTTGCGAAACCTCCAATTATTTCGATTTATTACGCCATACTTGAGGTTGTGAAAATGAGGACGTCGAACTGTGCTGAAAATGCGGCTACATGTATCGCGTGCTTAGCGAAAAGAGATCCGTTTTGTGGATGGTGTGTGAAAAACAGCATTTGCACTGAAGAAGATACATGCGAACGAGTGTTACCGAAAACAAGCAGTGGATGGTTGGATTTTCAGAACAATCGTTGCCCTAAGTAAGTGTTCCTTACAAGCTCTTTGTCTTTGAATATTGATTGCGTTCCGAAAACATTTTTTCTATGTCCGTCTTTCAGCATCAAAGGTGTTGTACCTGATAAAATCCAGATAACAACAGCAGATTATCTGAATGTGAGATTTTTGAAAATTTTTTTTATCATGGTACTCAAGTGATCAATGTTTAGGTGAGCTTGGAGAATATGGGAGACATCAAGGGCAGGTTACAGTGTTCTTTTCGCTTTGCTGACGGGAAAGTTGTGAATAGTGAGCCAGCTAGACAAGATCCTCTTGATGGGTAAGCCGTTTTGTGCTAGAAAAGATCCATGAGCATGAGTTTTGTATTGCAGGACACTGAGATGTGCTACTCCTCCAATAAATCGATTGCCGATGATCCCACTGAATGAGTCATATCATCAGACTACCTTGAGTGTAGTGGCAGAAGGTACTGCTGTGCTTATTGTTTTCGCTAGGGGTGATATCATCTCCCGATCTGTGATCAAGCGCATTTTTACCGTATAGCCTAACGCCCGATCGGCGGATGCCGTGAGGAAAATAGCCGGTTCAGAGACTGAGAGATTGACACTTACCACATAGGTCTACACATTGTAGACTATCATTCAGAGAAATGTTTTATGCTCTTCAAGTGCCATCTTTTAGGCCGAATAACTCCAATTGCATCCACCAATTTCTCATTTTACGACTGTAATAGATATTTGACATGCTCGAAATGTGCAAAAAGTGAATTTCCATGTGATTGGTAAGACCTTCATCTGCTTTGTCGTGTGAATTTATATGAGAAAGACACGTTACGTATTCGCTTGCTATTTTTTAGGTGCCTGGAGTCGAATGAATGTGTTGCAGGGAAACTCACTGAAGACAAGTGTCGAAAACAGCATATAGTCAACGGATTGAATGTAAGCCTGTTGCTTTTTATACATCGACGTAAAGTTGAATGTTACAATTTTCGTG